CCTACTGCTCCAATAAAAAATAAGGTTTAGTTAAAAAAAAAAATGTATTCGTAAAAGAATGGTTTATGAACTAATTGAAAGAATTCTAACCGCCGTATACCTGATATTTTAAATTAGCACGCGGAATTGTTTATCAGTCATGTTTTTATTCTTGAACCATGTATCGAATTTGATCGATGTTCCTCGATCAGCGAGTCAGTTAGATAAGCCTGCGAACAAATAAGCGGAAGCCAAAAAGCATGACTTATCAGGAAAAATAGAGTCAAAAAGCATAAATCTACCAAGAAAATGGATTTTATGCATGCGATAAGAATTCACGTCGGTTTGATCTGTTTCTGCGTCAATGAAAATTAACCATTTTTGGTTCCCCGTAAAATATCACCCCCACGTGTATTCTTTGGCGTTTACCCACGTGGGCTGTGCCATTGAGAAACATTGTACCTTTAAAACACCAAATGATCATTGTTTTTTATGGCATATTTTTTAATATTAATTTCCGAGCAATAAACATATGATTATTATTTCTTTACGATTCATTGGTACACAAAACAAAGATTTAAATCAAACTTTGGAATAGTTTTTTGTGATTGACCGATTCTGAGTGGGAATTTTTTTTTTAATTTTACATCACATTGTCATTACATCAGTGAAAATTTTTAAATATTAGCTTTTAAGATTATACACATTTGCTTGGTGCTTTAGATATAATTACATTATTTAAGAAATTTATTAAAAAAATGAATTAATAATTAAGAACGTAGAGAGGTTTCAAATTATGTTTTATCTGTCTGGTCTAAAAATTAAATTATTGTGTTTCGGAGTTTTTCTTTTTACTTCTAGAAAAAAGATTAAGAAAATATACAAATTAGAATTATCTGATATGAAAAGAATCAGATCAATACAAAAGAATTATTTGGCTTTATGAAACCTTAAAGATCTCTAACATTTTTATTGTATTTTAATTTTATCATGGCTTTATATACAAAAAACTGGTAGTCCATGTTTTCTGGATAAAAAAAAACATATACCTCAGTTTCTCATATAAGACCAGGAAGATATTTTTAGCTATTTTTTTTAGGAAAGGGTTTATTTATATCCTTTCAAATACAGTAGAAAAAATATATAAATAAATAATCTCATTTTGTTTCTGTGTAATTGAAATCAGAACAACTTGATGATAGCATTCATTCCAGTTTTTAGTTTACCGATACCTTTTATTTTTTTCCCCAGAAAAAGATTGATTCTAAAAAAGTAAAACACTTATCCAATCAACAATCATAAACTGATGGGATAGAGATATATTGACGACAGTGTGACACGCTAGTGAAGTATGTCCTATATCTTTGAGTTAAAAATGAGTTTAACTTCAATTTTTTCTTAAAATAAAAATAGGCACTTGTATTTTTTCATTTATATTTTACCAAAAACTGATAAGACATTTTAAAAATATTTAATGCCGTGCAATTATTACACTTCAATTATTCTAAAAAATCTAAAAATTAATAACATTAATTTCTATTTCGTCTACCTTTATTGTACTTAGCTGTATTACCAAAAAAAAAAAGCATTTTAAAATTTCAATTTGGCTTTTCTAAAGAAAAAAAAAGACGGAAGAAAGAAGCTTAAATTGTATTTATTTATTTCCTTTTTTAAAAATTTACAGTTTTCGCTTTATTATTGCCGCAAAATTCAAAAATAAAGTGTACACACACAAACAAAAAAATGAAAACATTTCTAGTCAATTGGGAATTTTCTAAAACAATCCACCTTTCTTTCCTAATTTACGCTCGAAAGCGAGTGACGGACAACCAACCGCCGAAATAGTTTTAGAGAGTCAATTATCATGGATGTTTTTTATTTTATTTTATTTTTTTTTAAACTAACTGATTTTTTTTTACGTTTATGATCATGACAGTTTCTTTTTGTTATACTTTTTAAAATATACCTTTGTATTATTTTTTCATCATGCCACATGAACTGTAAAAAAAGTCTGTATAAAATAAATAGGCGCACACACGGTCACAAATGAAACCATGCTAATTTAAAACATGACGCTCTATCTTGCTTGTGACTTCTCTCTTCCTACTGCCATATTAATGCATTACTACTACTACTACGTGCTTCTCACTATCTTTAGTATGGCTGATGTTGTAAAAGTGTAGCAAGCCACGTTAGTAAGTACCATGTAATCTTTTGTAAATCTGTTGTTTGCGTTTTTATTAAGTAAGGATTTTTGGGAGTCGATGTAAAAAAAACAAAAAATAAGGGGTTTACTGAAAGTGTGAATGATAAGTGCGTGAAAAAGGCGGCGGAGACCAACCCATATGACGTCCGGGTATAGGAGTGTGACCCGCCTTTCGCATGGCTAGCCACACCAAATGGGCGTTTATGATCTCTATGTGCTGATGATATTTATTTATATTTCTAGTAACCTCCTGGACAAAAAGATTTTTTTCTTATTTATTTAACTGACAAATTCACAATTTTCTTAACAACACTATTCTACTTCCTTGTTTTAAAGCCAAGCTGCTACTCGACTCAACTCGCTTCCACTCCTAAACTAGTCGCACTCCACCTACCTACACGCACACGGAAGATCACATTTACAATCTGTACACTCCCTTTAGTTCCTATTCTCTTACTCTTACTTTTTTTTACACAGTCACTTCAACGAGAGAGGGTGATTTAGGATTGGCCTTTTTTTCTCTCTTACTTAAATAAAATAATGTATATTGTATAGCCAGTTTTGATGTAGTAAAAAAAATAATTTACAAATTTTAAATTATGTTACAACTCATAAAAATGCATTATGGAGTACGAAAGAAAATAGGTCTTGGTACCTCGTAACTAACAACTAGCCATAGCATTTAATTATATATATATATATATATATATATATATAATGTGTGTGTACACAGACACACACATATATATATATATATATATATATATATATATACTACACACACATATACATACACGCACTAGTAGTACTACTAGTACGTATTTTGTGTGTAACCTGAAGCAGGTTCGACTTGGACACAAGACGATGAAATAGAAAAATTGTGATTCTGACGAGTACACAAAGTTCATCAAAGGAAGAAAAAAAAAAGAAATTAATTTGGATCATTCGCATTTTTCTATGTAAAGGGACGTAAGTAAGTAAGAATGTTGATAAAAAGGGAGAAAGAAAAAAAAAACTATGAGAGAGGAAACTTGTGTTGAGAAAGGTGGTATTTAGTGGGGACTTCGAAAAAGCAGTTAGTGAGTGTATGTGTGTGTCATGACTATGAAAACAGGCGGGGGACATAAAATGAGGGAGGAGAGGAATAAGAAAGGGCGGTACACAGCAAGAACAATTCACTTTTTCCCCCCTTGTTTTCTTCCTTTCGTTCACAAAAAAGCCAACATATGGTAGCCATTGTCATCATCGCACTTGTTATTTCTAAAATGAGTGTCGATGAATCTAGTTGCGGACTCCACCTCTAACGATTTCTAGGAAAATATTACCCAGAAATTCTTAATAAGTAGTCATTGTCGACTCATTTACATCGAATGGTGCATGCGTGAGGAAGAAGGAAAAACGAACCCCCTCCTGTTTAACTTAAGAGATGGCATCAGAGAGTAACTCCTACAACAACCCACTTAGTCCTGCCTTTTGATTTTTTTCTCTCTACTTTGGTACTTGTTTTGTAAATAATTCAACGCTTTCGTGTTTTCTTTCTTTCTGTATTTTTCTTTGTAAAATAATGTGAGACTGAACAGCTACTTTAAATATGTTCGAGGTTGATAATGATCACTTTTTTTTTTACTAGGTCGACCTAGTAATACTTTTTTGTTTTCGTCTTATCTTTCTAGAGTCTAGTATTCTTTCATACATAAAAAAACAAACATCAATTTTTTCAAAGCTATATTTAATCTATATATTATATTTGCCGATGTAAAGGTATTCTTTTATGTTTTTGTAGCCGACTAGGAATCAGAAAGGTAAAAATATTTTTAAATTTACGATTAGGTTTTTTTCTTTAAGTACAATAGGGAAAAAAAAGCTACATTGATATGATAACGAAGTAGTTTCGATTGGCGTGTTTTCGACTTGATACGTCATGATAAGTAACGTGATGTGTATTTATTTTTTTTTAATTTTATCATGAGTATCATTGTTGATTATTATTATTACTATTACTTTTAATTTTTTGAGGATTTTTTTTACTTGTGCTGCCGCCTCCACGCCGTTTTACCCCACCCGGTGGGATGCAGTTGAATTACAGTTGACCAATAGAAAAGGATCAAGTGAGAGAGAGAAACGTACACGCCAACACACAAAAATCATAATCAAACAATTTAAAGAAAAGAACATTTTAAATTATTTTTAAGCGATCGAAATTAATTATAACTCCCTTGGACTATCGGCAGCTATTTTCTTGTTTATTTCTCAATATTCTTTCGTTCAGCTAAAAAAAATTTCCCTAATAATTACAATCTGTCCGTGTCAATCATTATATTCCGCCTTTGAAAATCAGATATCATCATCATCATCGCCATTTTGTTTCTTCTTCCATTTACATCATCATCATTGTCAACAACAAGCCCGTTATTCTTCCCACTTTTCTTAAAAAAAAGAAAAAGGCTAATATATATTTTTCTTTACAGTTACGATTAACTTCCTCATAGATGGGAAGTTTGAAACTATATAATATTTTCATTTATTTCAGGTAAATAATGTTCGTATAGTGCTATAAAAGACATTTAAAATCCAACTTTCTTGGGTTTTAGTTATTCACGCGGAGTGACTCGTTGTTTCGAGCATGCGTGATTAGCATCATTGCGTAGTGATCTCCGTGTGTGCAGTGGCCTCCATGGCTTCCAAGCGGGGAACGTGGATTTCCCATGTATGGCTAGCAAATACCTTTCAGATTCAACCCAACAACAACCCAAATGTCTCGCTTTGGCATTAAATGGCTACACTTGCTATAAGTAGATCGAATGAAGACTATGTGATGCCGACAAGTTCGACTCAGGTGAGTTTTTTTTTTCCTTTTTATACGATTTGTGTGTACTTTTTTTATTTTTGTGTCTCTTCTCTACACCAACTAAAAACTAGTTCCTTGTGGGACTGAAAATTTTTGAATGGCCTAGTATTTATTCACACCCCTTTCTTTAACCCCGCCTTGTAGGATAACCAGCCATCCCCTTTGGCTCTGTTGGCAGCTACTTGCAGTAAAATCGGAGCACCCCAAGAAGACGGAATAAATAACCAGTCTAATACAACACAAGTAAGAATAATTGGCCAGAACCCGGTTTCAAGTCAAAGCGAGATCGTGGCAACTCAAAATTGGGTCCAAGTGCCTGGTGTTGTTGACTCTTCAAAGCCAACTGCTCCGGCCACAGCGTTGACCACTGCTCCGATAATCGCCCAACAGACTCCTCAATTGATTGCTTCCACCGGTCCGGGTGGAAACATTACTTATAATGTTATACCTCCTTTCCAGACGTTCTCTTTGGAGGGACAAGAGGCCATCTTCATCCCCGCTAACGCTTCTAATGCAAATGGAGGTCAAGCGCTTATTGCGGGAAATCAAGCCATCTTAACCCCTACCGGACAAATCGTCCGTGCTACGCCAAGCATCCCCGGGGCAAATATAATCCCTAACAATGTCGGATTTATGGGGAACGTACTCAATCTTACCGGAAATATGGTTAATTTGGCCGGAATGCAAAACATGTCCATTCGCCAACCCCTCGTGCAGACGGTTCAATTACCTTTGTCCCAACTTCAGCAGATACCAAATGTAATCCAGATTCCTGTATCGAGTGGGGCGGGACAGACGACGTACCAGGCGGTGCAACTTCCTATCCAAACTTTCTCCACTCCCACAATACAAAGCAGTAACCTCGGATCTCAGGGCGCCATGCCTGCTGCTGCAACCACTCCTGCTCTTCAATCGTCGGCGATAACAACTAACCAAAACCAGATGGCTAACGATGCCATTCCAACCACCCAGGTGCTTGAAATTGCTACACCACCAGAGATAAACGTCAAGTCAGAGATAAAGAGCAACTCCAACACTCCACCACCACTGGTTACCACAGCAACAGATGTCACACCTCCATCAGTAAACAGTATCCAACAATTACAGCAACAACAACAGCAACAGCAGCAGCAGCAGCAGCAACAACAACAGTCACAGCAGCCATCACAGCAACAACAATCGGGAGTGACCAGCAGCCAGTCGGGGTCATCGTCCATTGCAACTACAGTCGCCTCACCTGTAGCCACCAACAATGCTCCTTATCCCACTCAAGCAGCTCTCCAAATCCCCACTATTATCTCCCTTGCACCAGCCCCGGGTGCCCAAGGAATGCCCACATCAGGTAGTCAGAACATCCTGTCACTTGCTATTCCACAGAATGCAATTAGTGTATCTGGAGCACCAACCATTACATCTGCTGCAAATCAAGGCAGTATGGTGTCCAGTATAATCACCCCTCAACAGTTAATCCAAAATGCAGCCAACATTCAAATAGCAGCAGCAACTGCAGGGCAAAATCAGGTGATCCAAGGCAATCCATGGATTCCTACCCTGAATATAGCTAATATCCGGCCAACTAACATCCAGACCATCCAGGTACAAAATATTCAAGGATTGCAAGGACTCCAGGGTCTTCAGGGCTTACAAGGTTTTCCCCTGCAGAATGTTCAAAATCTGGCTGGCTTTCAGGCCATCACCCAACAAGGACAGATTATTTCAGCCACTTCCTCGCCTTTGCAAAATTTGGGCGTGCCAAGTTCTGTGACAGCCACAACAACTACAGCTGCAGCCGCAGCCACCTCCAGCATGGCAGCCACCCTTGGGGGTGGTACTTCGACTCAGACCCAGGGTCAACAACTCAGTCCACCCCAAGCAATACAGACTGTCACCACAGGCATCAATTCTACCCAGCAGATCAGCACTACACAGACTACCCAAACCATAAATGCTACACAGATTTTAGGTGAGTTGGAAACTTTATTATTATTGAATTAGAAATTCCAATTTTATTTTATTTTATATTTGAATGAAATATTGAGAAAATTCTCTATAAATTGTTAGTGAACTTTAATATTTTTTTTTTTATCAGTGATATTTCACTAAATCTACATTTCTATCCAATTCTTATGTCTGAATTATTTTTAAAATTACCATTGTTTATAGGAATATTTTTTATTTTTGTTCCTTTTTTTGTTTTTGTTCATTCAAATCAGCTGTATTTAGAAATCATTTATTTCATAAAAAAATTTGTTTTTTAAGTTTTGTAAGCTCTTAAAAATAATTTCAGGGAAAGATCTTTTTTATTTTATTTCTTTTAAACAATTTTTAATTCTCATAATGAAAAATTTCTTCCTAATTTAAGAATTTATCTTTGACAAATGACAATTTTTTTTTTTTTTTTTTTTCTTAACTCTCTCTTTAAAACTTTGAAACTGGGTATGATGGTAATGAATGAGTCTTCCAAGACTATTCATGTATCTTTCTTTACTGTTATGTAGCAATTTGTAGCAATAACTCTAATTGTATCCATAATTTTAAATGTTTAATGAATGAAACTAACTACATTACATAAAGGGAATATTAGCATTTGATTTGACTGTTGATAAAATAAATTGGTTTCCTAATTTGAGGCAATTCATAGTGAAGCAAATCCATTTAAAAGAACTCAATATCAATTTAATTATGATTTATAAGAGTTTACAGCAAAATTTCTTTATAGTGCTTAATTTTATAAAAATAAATACTTTTGTGACTATTTTAAACAAGAATTCAAAATGATTAGTTTGATAAAAATGTAACTTTCATAATAATTTGTTTTTCGTTTCCATTTGGTTATCAAAATATTTGACATTGTATCAAAATTAATCCTTTTATTTTCTAAGTACAAATTGAATTATTTAAAGTTTGATTTAAATATTTCTACAAAAACAGTATTTTTTGGAATACACCTAAAGAATTTTCTGTTATGTTCTTAAACACATGCTTCATGAAATAAATTAAAAGGATTATCAGTTAATTTAAAAAAACAAAAAAATAAATGATCTTTGATTTGGAACAAAACAATCTTCTCTCATTTCAATGAAGCAATTTTTTTTTTCTTTAATTTTCTAAATTATGAACAAATTGAAAAAGTTTTATTTACTATTTCTGTGTCCTGTTGACAAAAGTAACTTTCAACTTACCAAACATATTTGTCATTTGAATCTTGAATATTATTTTCCATTTCATATTTTTAATTAACTTCATTAAATGTGCACTGACCAGTTTTCTCGATATTTAGTCTCTTTCTCTCTCCCTCACAGATACACACATGAGGGTAGATCAAGAAGTATGTAGTCTGATACATAGTTATTAGCTAAAATGATGAATTAAATACATTGACAAGGAAGGAGATTGTGTTTAAAAATGTTATTTTAAAATGTATTTCTTATCAGATTGCATACTTTTTTTATATACCTATGTATATTATACTTGTATTTTTGAATGTTCTTAAATTTGAGTATCTTTCTCAGTGCATTTTTTTTTTTTTTTTTTTTTTTTAATTGTGGTATATGCAAATGGATATAGCAGCATTTTCTAATAACAGAATTTATATCAGAATTTTCGAGGTAGGAATTATCTTTATTGTATGCCTTACTGTGTGGACCTACGTAATTGTCTTGGTTGTTTATACTCACAAAATTTCAACCGTTTTACCCCTTGGCCTTCTTCAGGTGTCTGTCATTGTACTCGGTAACCTTCTTGGAATTTTGAATTGAACTCTTCAGTTCGCAATGGTTAGAGTGTTTTGATTGTTTTCTATTTTTAGGGGACATTTCATATCAGTTAAGGTGCACTAATCTTGGTGATCTTTGTCACTTGTCTGTATGTGTTACAGACTGTAACTTTTCAGCACTACCAAAACCCTGAGGATTAAAGTGTTGGTTAAAACATATCTGGTTCTCTGGTGGTAGTTGTAAGTTTAATCCCTGTGTATAAAATCGGGATGGAGATAATTTGGCTTCATTTTGCTTTCTGTTTTTGAACCATAAAAAATTAGATTTAACTGACAATTTAAAAAAAAAAATCTTCCAAACTGTACATTTTAAAATTTACTTGACAAGATTTTTATGAATTTTTCTTGCTTATAATAAAAAATTGCAAATTCTGATCTCCAAGACAATTAAAATTTACTTTCTAGAACATATAGGCTTCACTTTCATTTATTGGCCATACCAAATTATATAAATACATTAAAACTCGATGAATATTGATTAGGTTTTAACTCTTCTGCATCAGTAGAATATCTCCATTGGATTATAGGTAGTCAGAGATATTTAATATGTTGCTGGTGATATCCATCTGGATTCCAATCTTTTTTCTTTCTTTTTTTCTTTTTTTTTTCTTTTTTTTTTTTAATTGTCACAATTGTTATAAAGTGTCTGTCATTCTTGCTAGAATGTCATATTTACATTTTAGCATTTTAATTTTCCTTATTTCATAATCCGAAATGACTAAGGCATGAGATACACTTACTAATTCTTTGGGCTTACAATTTTCAAAGTCTCTTTTGTTGTATAACATGGAGCAGGATTTGCTATTAAAAAGGATGTTGTTTTCCTTCAAATAAGTCTCAGTAAATATGGAGGAAATGTTTGTCACTCCAGAAGCTTTCATGTATCACTGCTCCAAATTGTTCTAAAATACCATAACTCCAAATCTGCCATGTTTGATGATGGTACATTCAAATTCTTCACTTGGCAATCTTTAGACCTATGCTCATCAGCTATTAAAAAAGTTGGATAAATGAAAAGTCATTTAAATAGATTAGTATACCAAACCTTCAAGATGTTGTTTACCATCACAGTTGTTTACTGTTTTCTTTATTGACTAGTTTAAAAAGTGGCTTTTATTTGACAGATGACAACTGGTTTGATCTGAACAGATTCTGACATTTTCCAACAGATTTTTTAAATTTTTTCTCTCATCATATAAACATCTTTTTGATTGCCTATAGAGATGAAGTAATTTCCTTTCCTTTATTCATGAATTGTACAATCTCATAGTTCACAGATGAAAATGGAATTCCTGATTTTGATGCTGACCCATTCCATCTTCAAATTGACTAACAGTGAACTCCTCTTCCAAAAATAACAATTCTTGTACTTCTGGAGTATAAAATCTTGTAAATTTTATTCTCTTGGATTTTCATAGTAAATTCAGTTATTGCTAATTGGTCTTTGGCAAGTCATATACAAGTAAAATAAGTGTTTGTCATTGTCAAAAGATTGTGACATAAAAATGAAAAAATTCCAACAGCATAAATCTGTAAGTAGCTGGTTTTCAGCAGATTAAATGAAATGTTTGAAAATAAAATAAGGCGTATAAAAATGAAACTTTATAATTTATTTTATAATGCATGTGAATATTAATGTAAAATGCTTATCAAGAGTATCCAGCTAGAATCTATGACAGCATATTAAAATAACAATTATTTTCTGTTTCCTTTAAATTACTTTGAATCTAATTTACTCTTAGAAAATTACCAATCTTGAATTTTCCATGGATCATTATTGATATTATTGTTTCCAACCCGTTTTTACTTGCCTGATGTTCATTTGAGGACATTCAGATAAATCATTTCCTACCTTTGTCAGATGGTCTTTTCTCATCTCTCTTTCCTTCAACTATTTTTTTTTTTTTCCTCTCATTTAGGATTAGCTACAACTCTTGAATGATTTCAACAAAAATGAGAGTTATAAGAAAATCCAGTAATGATTTTTAACATTTTTATTTGTGTGCCTTTTTCTGTGTGTAAAACATTTGGAAATTATAGAATTATTCCTGTGTAAGTTTATTTTGTTTCAAACTGTGAAAAGATTAAATTTTAAAGTAAATGCTAAACCAAAGATAACTTGATTCTTAAACCATGAATTCAGATTTTAATGAATCAAAAACATTTATGCTTTTTCACATATAGGTGGGTACATTGGCAATCAGAATATGGCACTCATAAATATATATATATATATATATATATAAAATAGAGATGATCATGATTAACAGCTAATTTTAGATGAAAAGCATTTTGTATAATTAAAAAAAACTTTTTTTTCTAACAATGTGTAACATGCTAATTCTATTTATAACAATTTGTAGGTTTAATTTGGTTTAATTTTATATATAATCCAAACCTTAAGTTTTTAAAGAAAAAATGTGATGGCAATTTTTGTTTGCTGAAAAATGTTTCATGAATGTCTTGAAAGAATTAGAAATTACAAAATCAATTCTAGAGTCCTCAAAAGATTTTCAATTTGTGTATTGATGTTTTTAATGTTGAACTTGAAATTCTTTAATTTTGTTTCTTGCTTAGAATTACCTTTCTAATGCAGTTTTCACTGCACATTCTCTAACATTTTCCACAGACATAAAGTGGAAAGATTATATTGAATCAATTGTTATATGTGCTGCTAGGAAAGTTGGTTTACTGTGTTGTGCTAGACAGTTTGTCTCATCAAAATCTGCAATGTTATTGGTCTTGACTTGGCATCTTAGATTCAGTCAATTTTCAACTGCCATAACACAACTTCCCTGTGTTTTTTCTATGCATATTTTCATGGTAATTGTCCTGGTGATCTTTCCTCTTTGGTACCTTGACTTTATAAATTTAAGCTCTGTATTAGATTGGCAGCAAGGTCTCATTTTACAGTGGAAATGGCTAGAGATAACCATAAGTTTTATGCTAAGAGTTTCTTGTCTTGCACTTCTTACTTGTGGAACTCTCTTCTGGCTGCTTGTTTTCCAGTTGTTTGATCTTCAAAAATTGAATGCAATGTCAATCATTATCTCCTGTCTTCTTAATTCTAGTACTTTTATTGTTCTCTCTCTTTAATGTTTATTTTTTTCTCATGTTCTCTCACACTCAGTATCCCCTTGAATCTTACTGGCTTTATTGCCTTGCTTGGGGTGAAATGATTAAAAAAGAATTTCTTTTTCCTTTATTAGCACAAGTTTAACTTTATTATTTGAAAATTCAAAAAAGCTTAAACTGTAAAATTTGTACATAAACTTTACTGTTAAATTAAAATTGATGCTTAAGAGATAAAGTAGTAAAAATACACTAAAAGAAAACTGCTACACACTGAATGTGTTTCAATTTACTCAACATTAAACATATAGTTAACATGGGTTCCAAGATAAGTGTGTGTATCGACAGTACTCTGATTTCCTACACATACTCTCACATGGATACAATAAGATAGAGAGTATTATCTTGCCATACATTGTTTCATGCCTCTTGTCCTTGTTGATGTAATACACTAAGAGTTATATATAGATAAATGTGTGTGTCTGCCATCCCATTGTTCTATGGAAGTCAGGTCTGTGATCAGCCGGGGAAATTGTTAAACATTTTAAAGAGCATGTTGAGTGCTGTTGGCATCATACTGATGCCAGAATAGCACACCACCTTCCTATTGGCAGCAGATCAGATTGAACCATGAACAAACATTGACTTACATGTCAGCAATAAGACATAGTGCTAAAAGGACATTTTTTTTTCACATGACACCCCACTTTTTTCTTTTTTTTTTTAAACTACCTTCACTCTTCAACAATGTTTATTGTTTTAAAAAGCAATGATTAGAATTGGAATAAAACCTAAATATATGAAAGGGAACTTATACTTTTTTTTTTTTTTTTTTTTTTTTTGTTCTTGAGAATTTACAACAAAAATATTACACTATTTATTAGATGGTTTATCTACAAGTATAATTTTATATTTACAATATTTTAAAAACTAATAAAATTAGAACTAATGCAATATTTATCATTTACCAATTCATAAAGAAATACCAAAATGTTTTTTTATAAACATTTACTAAATTAAGATATGTAAACCAACTATAAGGAAATCATTATTGTTTACTATTTTATAAAGTTTGACTTGATTGGCAAGTAACTGATGTTTGCCAACCATTCCAATAAATAATATAATAAATAGTGTTTATTATTTTGTCAATTCTCAGAACAAAGAAAAGGTAGAAATTCAATTTCAGTTGGGTATGTGTTATAGGTGAACATACACTAGAAGATATTGCTTCCTAAGTCTCATACATGTAAATGAACATCATTTGCAAAAAGGTAAAAACTGCTCTTGATCACCCTAATGACCTTCTTGCAACATCACTATAGATTTGCATGACAATGTTGCAATTTAAGAAGTTTGGCTTGAGTCATGTTTACCTGCAATCCTACTGCAAGTAAATAATTTCACCAGGGAGGTCACATTTGCTCTGATTTGTGTCTTGGACATTTTGCAATCTGCCATTGCTACATTTAATTTGTTGATCTTGGCAAGCATCTATACGACATGGCTGCAGCAATATTCATTTAACCACCATTGCCAATATCAAAACATTCCCAACATTTCACACCCAATATTAGTACCAATTCTTTGAAATGAGCTTATCAAAAGCCCACGATCTGACACCCTTTCAAACAACTCTAATTGAGCAATATCTGCCCATGTCTCTGTAACATGACACATGCCTGCACTTGACACTAAACATTATTACACCATCAAATTCTCAGACATAAATGGTTTTATGGTACAAGATGGCCAATTGTTTTGAAATTTTTATTAAAATATCTACTGATTGGATATCAGTAGATATTAAAATCAGCATCCGTTCAGGTTATTGCAATTTTATTTTCCATTGGTGTATTGGTATTGAATGTGTTTAAACCCTGGAATGAATAAAATATCTATAGATTTCTTTTTGTTTATTATCTTCGAATTGTTGTGTCTCTCCATTGTTTTCTCTGTGGTTTGGGATTAAGTTGTCTTTCTCTTAGATTGGTTGCCACTCAAAGTGAGAGAGCCTAGTCTATCCTGCTATTTAACCCATGTGTCCTGAGTATGACGATAAACTATTCAGCAGCAAGGCCATTGTTTGGGAGGTTTCACGGACTGTGGAACTACCTCTTAGTTGTTGTTGCTCCCAGGTTCACCCAACCCAGGGTGGTAGACCCTGTTAAGGTCCCACCTATGGGCAAATAGTGAACCCCCAAAACTGGGGTCAAAACACTATGAAAGTATAAAAATACATTTTTATTGTAAGGAAAAAAAAAAAATTAACAAAGCTGCCAAGGAAATTGAATTTTGGCATTAAATGACCCATAAGGAGTTTGTGTTGTTGAACAAACCAAATCTAAATATTTAACCCATAACTGGGGAGAGAAGAGATGGAGTCACTAATTTCCCAAGAATATTAGTGCAAAAGTAACTGCAACAAACTAGGTGCCAAAAATTTGAACTGAGCTGGCCATTTCCACTTTTCGTGTTGATATGTTATACTATCCACTCATCCATGAATTTTGATAATGACTTGTGAAGTTTTTAGGGATTTTAATCAAGTGGTTTTTGTGTTTTAATGTTAATTATATGATTGTAGTTTTAATAAGTCATTTGTGTGACTTGTGTACAAAGAAAGATATAAACACTTAATTTTCAATTACCATATTATTTTCATGGATATTTGGAAAACTACTGCAACTCATTCAAGCTGTCCATTTAGGCATACTACCAAATATTTTTTATTTAATTTTTCTTTTTCTATATTGCTCCTCATCTCTGTACAATAATTTTTAAAAATAAATTGGTTTTATTTACTGCTGTCATTATAAAATATTCTTCATTAAATGATTAATTATTGTCACTCATACAGGCTCCCATAGTCATCTTCAACAGGATCCGACAGATCCAACAAAATGGCAAGTGGTCCAAACCACATCACAAGCAGCTACTCCTATAGGTCCCTTAAGTCCTGCTGACAGTCCACAGAGCCAGCAGCAAGTCAGTGTAGAAGTTCTTCCAGCCAAACGCTTGCGAAGGGTGGCTTGTACATGCCCCAATTGTAGAGACAATGAAGGAAGGTAAGGACATGCACCCTTTTTAAATTGGAAATAAATCATGTTTTCCATTAGTAAATTAGGACAAAACTACAGCATAAAAATTAACATTTCTTCATAACATCAAATAAAACTTAATTGTTGTTGCAAAACAACATAACTCAAGATTTATTTCAGTAAAATAGCTTCATGATTTTCATAAAATATTTCTGGAATCTCCTAGAAATATAAAGTTAAAAAAAAGCCCACATTGTCACTAAATAAAATAAATGAAAAAATATTCTAAAACATTTTATTTCAAGCTTTTAATGCTATTAGTTTCTGCCAAAAATCAAGAGTTGTCTACCTTTTGATAACATGCAAATGTTTCAGTAAACATTAAACTTTGTTTTCGCTTCCCTAATTTAAATTGTAAAGTAGATATTTGAAGTTGTCCAAAATTAAGGAATAACTTTAGACTATACTTTATAATTATTTGATGTAAAATTTGTTAACTTACGTTGATAAATAAGGAAATTTATTTGTCACATATCTCTTCATATTTACCTTGTAAATATTTTAATTCCACAAAGAAATATTACCCTCACTAGATGTAGCAAATCTATTTCCAAATGTCCCCATTAACGATTATAGACATTATCATAAATGATGTTTCCAACCATTTCTCACTCGGACTTCTTAAAATTGTCTTTAGCATCTACTAACCTCCTTGGCAACATTTACACACACACACACAGATGGCATCACTATGGATAGCCCTCAGAGTCCTTCTTTCTTAAGATAAAATATGGCTCACATAGAAAATAAAATAGTCACTAAGATAACTAAACCAACTATATATATTTTAGCTAAAAATAAAAATTATATTTAAAAAAAATAAAAAAACAAGAAAAATTGAAACCTAATACTGTTCTTTGTATAAAACTATATATAACAATATATACCTTTTTATTTATATAATAAATATATATATATATATATATATATATATGTGTGTGTGTAAACAAAAAAAATCTTAAGTGTATCAAAATTCCAGTTTGTTTATGTGAGATTCAGATGATAATATATATTCATGTGTATGTGTCTAGTAGGCATTATTTATGTTTGATGGTTGTCTGCATGTTGATTAGGAATAAAAATTATGATACACATATAAACTATACACATGAATGCTGCTTGACAAATCAAATGTATGTGAAGTTTACTTAACCAATGAAAGTCAAGCATAAAAATAAAAAATACCAGAATTTTTTTTTTTTTTTTTCATATCTCATTCTTTGATAAAGCTTTAATAAAAGAACAACATTAGATTTATAAACATTTCCTATTCTTTATTTTATCATTCTGTTGGATTCTCCTCCATATTTGATCCCAATTCTGATATATATTCCAGCACTAACTTTTCCTTAACTATAAAAGTGAAAATTCTAATTGTTATAAAATAGTTATTACCTTTTTTTAAATTTAATTAGTAGAGCCAAATTAATCACTTTTTTTTCTGAAGAAATTTTCTACAAAGATTTAATTAACATTAAACAAACACTCATCAATAATGGTTTTCCATGTTGATGAACAAATAAAACTTTATTTAAAGAAGATTAATGGCACCAATAAAAATGTTGGAACACAGCAAGAACACCACCATCATTATCATTTATCTCCTTCAGATAAACTTAAACAAGTTGAAATGTCTATAAAAAAATTCATAATCCATAGACATGTAGAGGCTCACAGATTGCAATAAATGTCTTACATTTATTAGTTATTACAAAATTTTAAAGCATTTAACTTAGTTATCAGTAATTAACACCAAATTAAAATGAAATCTCCGATATAAAACCAATGTTGTTTACAAATTCACTTGTCCTATTGAAGATTGTATATCTGGAAACAACAAAGACCATTTTATATTGGATACATACAAGAATAATGTGGTTCTTTATTCTGACCTAAGGGCTATATATGACAACACACAGTAGAGAAACATAAAAATGACAATAATATAAGATTCAGTATAAGACACAACAAAGTAAACTTTTAAACAAAAACTACAAATTTTAGAAGTTCTTCCAAAAAAGTCATTACACACAACAATTATCAAAATCACCTGTGATTCTGGAATATACATTCTAAAGCATGTTTAAATTCTCAGAATCTGCACGACCACAGAATTTCAAAACTCAAAAATTAACATCATGCTCCAAAAACCCCCAACTCAAAATTTGAAACCATTCCAGACTTTGAATTTCAGAAAATCTTTTTCTTGATAAGAACTGAAATCATTTGGACAAGCTAACACAAACTGTAGGCAGTTCTTTTAGATCAACAACACTAGTATGCAAAAACTTATTTGCCAAGAAAAATCTTTATTTAAAAAAAGATAATAAACATAACATGTCTTGTTTTTTAACAAGACTTGTTTGAATTTGTGGTCAGCTGAAATCATTTAGACTCAAATGTATTTTATTGCATTGATTATGTAATTTGAAAATGACATTCATTTTTTTCTTTTTTTTTTTTTACTTCTGATCCAGAAACAGTGAGAAAAAGAAGCAACACATTTGCCATATTCCGGGTTGCAATAAAGTTTATGGAAAAACGTCACATTTACGGGCACATCTTCGGTAAGTAAACATTTTCCAATAATAAAAAGATGTAAATTTTAATTCTAATTTTTTATTTGGTTTATTTGGATTTTTTTTTGTTTTTCTTTTTCACTGTTGCTCTTTCTTGAAAACTTTTCTTTTTTTTACTTTGATATTAACTACTACATGATAATTAATATGAAGGTATGTTTTTTGTTTTTATACTTCATTTATAAATTATTGCCTTGAATATTCATTAAAATTTGTGCTAAGTAAAATTTTAGTTTCCTCTTTTGTTGGTAGAGTTAAAATAGGTACCTCCACGAAATCGCTAAAAAAAGAGCATAGCTTGATGAAAAAGACGCCAACCTTGCCGAAAACAAAATTTTATTGTCTAAATGCTTATGTTATTATTTAGAGGAAAGACCAAAGTTTTTTTTAATTATTTTAAAAAAATTTTCCTTCTTTTTAGAAAATTCTAAATTTTGATTAAAAAAACCTTGTTTCTATTTGTATCAGCGGAACTAGTAAATAACATAGACAATTTTTAGCACGTTTTTTTGGTATGACACACATTAATTTGAAAAATCGTGCAAAAATAGAAATAATTATCGGATGTTAATGAAACTTTCAGGAACTATTCACAGATGATCGAAATTATTATAAATATGTTTTTTTTTTATGAAAGTCATGGTAGAAATATTTTAAAAAAATATTTATTACCCCCCCCACTAATTTTATGAAAACGCTAGAAATTGATCGCATCGGTTTTAGTGATTACAATAATTAAAAGCACAGGGCTTTGAGGAATGCAAATCATGTTTTTTTTTTGTTTTAATTGGATACCCAGTACCTGAAAATCAGCTCTGAATTGTAACATACAAAACTCAATAAAACAAAGATATTATTTAATTTCAAATGCTTTTATTTGCTTTTAGTTGTTTTTATGAATATGGACAATATTTTCTGAAAGCAAAAAAAATTTTTCGATGAAAATGAATTTTTAATACAATTATTTGTTATTTCATTAATTATAATACATTTTACATTTAAGTTGTTAAAATATTATAAAATTAGTTAAAAGTCAGACAGGCTTTCATAAGTGTCCTTATGAGATAGATCTTTTTTTAGTGCGTTGTAAATTGTATCATTTTGACTAATCAGAAGATCCCCAGTAATTAAGAAATGTAATTTTGTGCTTATAATCGAGCTGTAATTATAAAATACGGAAGACCAAGCAGAATATAATTAAGTTGCGTTATTTGAGTTAAGCATTGTTCTCCGCTGTTAAGGCCTTTACTTTTGCGAAACACGTGTGGAGAAGTTAATTTGATTTTTCAATTTCAACTGAGAAGGTTACCTACAAGTATCAGTATCATCTTATGAAATTTATATGATCTTTTTTTTATATTAATCTCAGTTACGACATTTTTCCATAAATGAAATATCAAAATTAATAATAAAATGAATGCAAATACAAATAACAGTAGAATGTAATAAATGTACATAAAATTATAGTATTTTATGTACAATTCTGATAAAATTTCATAAGAAAGGTACCTATAAATTAATTAGATACCTTTTTAAGAAATATGAAATTTAATGTCACTCTTAACAGTTTTATTTTAATTTCTTTAGAATATATTTCCCATAAAGCATCATAAACGTAAAGGTGAAAGCTAAGTACAAAAAAAAAAAAAATTAGACGCTGAAAGTTTTCGTTTAAAAATAACTGGGTAAATAATTTGTTCACGTAAATGTAAATTATTTCACTTTTCTCCTTCCGTAGAACAAATTAGCCTCATGGAATTCGTAAATATATCATTCATCACATGTCAAGAGACGCGAAAGTTTATGACCTGCTTTGTTTTATTTTCAAATTACATCTTTTTGGCACAAAAGCTAAGTTATGTTTGGTTCAAAATATTTTAAATAAACATTATAATTTCTGATTTTCTTAAAATAAGTTTTGAAAAAATGATAAGTGATATTTAAAAAATTTCAAAGTCAGATTTCCAGTTTTTTTAAAATGGAAAAAAAAATGGTCAATTTTGCTGAAAAAAAAAAAAAAAACTAGATTTTTAACGAAAATTTCGGACGTGCTAGGAACGATTAAAAAATGGAAAAAATACCCCAAAAAATACTTTGACCTTTCCTCTTAATGAATAACAAACATTTAGACGATAAAATTTTGTTTTCGTCAAGTTTGGCGTCTTTTTCATCATGCTATGCTCTTTTTTTTAGCGATCTCGTGGAGGTACCTAAGTTAAAAGAAAAACAGTTGTCAGTTTATGAGGGAAAACTTGTACCATTTTAGATATATTTTTTTATTTTTAAGCTAACATCAATTTGAGTTTCGGTTTAACATGTTGGTGTTTGAAAGATTTTAAATTTGTCCTGCTATTGTCTCCTTGACCCATTTTGAACTTCATTTGCTAATGCATTTAAAAATGTTTCTTTTTTTTTCAAATCCTCAAAATTATTGAGGATTTGAAAAAGAAACAAAATGTAACTATCTACTAAAATTTCCCTAGAATTTGCTTAATGAATTTATTTACAAAAATGATTTTTATTTTTTAGGTGGCACACTGGAGAGAGGCCATTTGTTTGTAATTGGCTTTTTTGCGGCAAACGTTTCACAAGGTCAGATGAATTGCAACGACATCGCAGAACACACACGGGTAATAATATAGATGCATCTATTTAATCTTTGTCTAATTTTTAGATTTTTGATTTTTCTTCTAAATGAAATCTTGCAACTGATTATTTGGTTGTATAAATGAGTTAAGATTTGTGGTTAATAGAACATTTCTTGAATCTTTATTGATTTGAAACTTTTTTTTTTTTAATTTTCAGGGGAAAAGCGGTTTGCGTGTTCCGAGTGCGACAAGAGATTCATGCGAAGTGATCATCTCTCCAAACATTACAAAACTCATCAGAATAAAAGGATGATTGCACCAACTCATCGAATGATGGCCAACCCTGGTAAGTAGGCAACCTTTTTTTTTTTTTTTTTTTTTTTTTTTTTTAAGTTTTTCAGTTGGCTGAAAATAGGGTTAATTTTCTTTACATCAGTTTCAAAATTTGAGCATTTGTGTGCTATTAATAGTTCCTTTCAAATGTCTTCCAGATATTATTATTATTATTATTATTATCATCATCTATTTTTTGCACATTTGTTTATAAAACACTGAAATAGAATTCATCTGGAACACTGCAATTATTCTTTTTATAAACACTTTTAAGTTATTCCCAAGAAACAAATCGTGATAGTTAAATCTGGCACATTTTTCATTCTTTTAACTTGTATATATAACGTGTGTGGTTGGTCATGTTACATGCATAAGTAATATAAGGGCACTAAAAAATCTTCATGTACCACTAACTGCAAGATGTTTCTAGGGAAGAACACTATTGAGGTACAAAGATAAACAGAAGCAAAACCTTTGACCTACTTACAACATAGGAATGTCAACAGAATTTAGGTTTTACTTAAGTTTATTCTTGTATCTCAACGGGGTTTTTTCTGAGAACCATCATGCAGTTGACTGTTCATGAGGATTATCGATGTCCTTTCATAACTTATGCACACATGACCAGCCATATGTATAAAATCTGTCTTCTTTTATTGTCTTCTTTCCTTTAATAGTACATTTTTCTTGTGTTCCCCAACACTCAGTAATCCCTTGTCTTAGTGGCTTTATTCCCTTGCTTGGGGCGAAATGATTAAAAAATGTGTGTGTGATAGTTTTAGGTGATCATACAACCCTTGGCTGGTGGCACTTGATTTTTTTTTTTTTTTTTTTTTTTTTTTTTTTTTTTTTTTTAAATATGTTTAATAGCTCTATGAGAGCTTAAGCTGCTATTGTGGCCACTTTTTGTTAAAAGCTTGTTGATAAATTGCCCTGGCTTCATTGAACACCTTTTCATCGGCAGAGCTAATTGATAACTGCACTGATCTGTGCATGTACCATGTACTTGAAGGTGGTTGGATTCTTTATGTAAATATATAATTTTTTCCCCCCCCTTTTTTTTTTTTTTTTTTTTTTGCTGTACGGTTGATGTACTTGATTGTTTAGATTCAGCAACAATTCAAGTAAATACAACTTGTACATTCATACTGTAGTCTTTGAAAAACTTGCTAATTTCTTTTCTTACCCCTTCAACTTTTTTTTATGTAATATCCATAATCCATCATTGTGGTATCATCCCACATGTATCTCAAAGAAATGTCTAAGCTGCCATAACAAATGGATCACCACTAGTTCACATGCTTCTGCTGAATCAAATGTCCCCATTGCCACATCAAATTTCTTGTTATATCACAGTTCATGATTGTGGTACAAAATAGCTCTCTGCACCTGTTTAATTACGTTGATTTCATGATTTCATTCTCACCAACACAGACAGCAGTTTCTTCTTGCACAGTTCTATTGCTTTTAGCAGTTTTTCCCTATATTGAATCGGGATTCCTCAATGTCAAATTGAACATGTTCATTTTTATTATTTATGCTATTTATATTCGGCATATTGTCCTCATCTTTATTGTTGCTATCACAGCATTTCGGCCATTGTGCCCTCTGGACTTCCTCAGGTATATATTGATATGGGTAACCTACAGTGATTCCTGAACTGAACACTAATCTACAAGGGTAAACTGTTCTCGTTCCACTGTTCATGTGTAGTCTTTCCCTTTTATTTTTATTTTTTTATGCCTTTAAACCAATAAATGTCTCCTTTGGTGTTACGCCATTGATTCACCCATACAGCATTGCTGGTGTACAGGCACACCCTTTCTAATATATTTTCGCTTATTTTACCTATGTTATTTTTGGTGGGGTTCAGTAGCCTGTATTGTGGGTAGTTTTCAAACTTGTACTTATGATCTTTTATTGTGATAAAAGCCTTTTGTTTATATAACTGGAGCATTTTATCATTTAGATTTTAATCTTCTCCGTGTTTTAGATTTGTTGGCTTTAATGACAATTTTATCTGATCTTTTAGTTTTTTTTTATATATGGGGGGGGGTCTCTTGAACTTTACTTGTAAGCCATTATTACCATCTTATGAACTTAATGTTTTTGACCATGTAAAATGGGTCCTTTTCAAACATGGATAATCTATAATGATGGAGGTGAGGCTCAATCAAGTGTTGGATTAATTTGGAGTGGGTGGCAAAAAAACAATATCCAACTTATTCTTTTAATGAAGCATTCAGTCTTGTGAAAGGATGTTAAATTGTTATTCCTTATTTTAGGAACAGGTAGGTTCTTTATTGAATATCCAAAATTTATCCTTTCCATCATACAATGTACCTAAGTACTTAATGCCAAATAGTTTCTCTACAAGAAGGAGCAGATATTTCAATTTAGGACAATAAAATTGTCAGACACACAAAAATGTTATTGAACACAACTTGATGTAAAATACAGTGTAACCCGGATATAAGAGAGTTGTCGGGACCGGAGAAGAAGTCTCTTATATCCGGGTTACACTGTAAAATACAGAGCAATAGACAATTTTTTTTTTTTTTTTAAACTTACCTTTTTGTATATTGCTCTATATTTTATTTATTGAAGAACTGTGTGCAATGTCTGTCATTGATAATTTTATTGTCATAAGTGTGTGTGTGGGAGAGATAGAGAGAAAAAGAAATAGATTGGTTGATTGATTAGAGTGGCACCATGGCAAAATGTTACAAGTTTATTTAAATCTTGCAACATTTATATCTGCCGGAAATGAAATGAACATCACACACACATACTACATAGTAATAATACATTTCACTTTAAAACAGCAATACTGGTCCCCACAAAAACGAAATAAAACTACATGGATATCAAAATGTCAGGGATAAGTTTGACAGTGTATTTATATTGTAAACATGACCCGCCCACGCTCTAAAATAATACAAAATTAATGTTTTTTGATTCTGACAAATTGCTGAGTAGAGGAAGTTCTGAATGCTAAACAACAACAATTATTTGTGAAAATATTTTTATCCATAAGAAATTACTAATTAATATTCATGTTTGGAAAGTAAAGGCTCGTTTTGAAATTTACTTTACAATATTTTTTTTTTTGTTTCAATAGTTATTTCGATTTTTATGTTGAAAAAGCTTTATATTTTTTTTATACAGTAATGACAATCTCGTTCTTTCCACAACATATTCTAAGATAATGTTTGTTTTTGGTTTTTTTGAAAATGTTCCACCGCAAGTCATCTGTTATTTGTCAATAAAAATATTTGATTTTAAAGCCTTTTGTTTTTTAAAGATTTTAGTTTATTACTTTTTACAAATAAAAAAACAAATTTTACAAATTCTAAAAAAATTGTCATGATGCCCTTAGACATTGGCATGGTACCCTCATTTTTAAGGAGTCCACCAAAGCAATTTTTGCCTGCCCCTTTCTTGAGCTAAATATATATATATATATATATATATATATATATATATATATATATATATTATTTTTTATTATAAGTGATTATAATAAAAACGTTGAAATCACTACATAAAAGTTTTCATGTTTCAATACTTTGATTGTACTTCAAGTGATGGTAACTGGTGAATCACCATTTTATGTTTTCAGTTTACACTCACTTCTGAATCATGACTTACCTCTCTTTTAGTTTTATTCCTTTACCCCATTTCTTCCTTCCTCGATTCATTTTAAAATCTCTTCTATTCTTTTATTCATTTGAAAAGTTACCAAGTTATTTTCTCCTGAATATGTTTGTTTCAAAGTATTCTTAAAATAATAATTGATTGTTACTTATACAATATTTCACATTCAGCTCCTTTTATAGTAGCATCTATTTTTTTAATCCCACTTTTCTACAAAGAGGTGCAGCTGATTTCCTCACACACTCAGTCCAGTATGAGAACTGCAGGACTTAATTCTCTTGCTTTTTCTTCTCTTCAGATGAAGACAGTATGGCCGATGGCAACGTAGGGGCCATGGAGGAAGATTCACCTTCAAACTTCAGTGTTGCATCACCTTCTGTTGTTGTGTCCCAGTCATTGGCGGGACAAGGATGAAAAACAAAAAAAATAAATAAACAAAAACCGCTTCACCTGACAGCTTTTCTCCTCATGAAAGTGCTGCGAAAACAAACAAAAAAAAAAATCAAATTTCAGTTCAAATTCATCCGCTGTTCATTCACCCCCCCCACCACACACACACACACACACACACACACACACACACACACAAGTTCACCTAGTTTTGTTGAAATTTCTCAGCACCAAATCCCATGTCCAATTATGATCAGTTGACTAACTCAAATGAAACTGGACATTCATTTGTTGGACACTCATTTTGCATCAGTTTACATTTGGATAATTTTTCTCTGATTGCTGCTCTCTTTCAAACTACCTACTGAACAATTAACACAGGCCCAGTACGAAATTGCAAATACGTGTGTGTGTGCGCGCGTCTCATCACTTTAAACGTTACTTTGAGTAGATACTCTCTATATTTATTAATTTTCAAACCAGCCTGAATATTCAGATTTTATTACCGAAAAATAGTGCAAATTTTTCTTTAATGAGATTTGAATATTCAGGCTGGTGGACGAAAATGAATAAATATACTTTAATAATCTCTACTCAAGAATCAGTATCCCCTAAGAGTGATGATATAGTGTGTGTGTGTGTATATACGTGTCGTCTCATGTGAGCAACAGAAGATTATTTGCTTATGTTTTTCATTCCCCATTTTTGGGTTTGCTGCTGAATATGTACCTTTTTTTTTTTTTTTTTTTTTTTTTTTTTTTTAACTTCCCCCAACTGTTTAAAGCAGCTTTGCAGAATTTGAATATAAGAGTTTTGTTTGATGAACAAGCAAAATAATTTGAGAAAAATGGAAACTGTAATGGCAGCAAAATAGCAAAAGAAAACTGACCTCCCTATTCTTTTTAGATAAAATAGGAGGGGGGGAAAAAACCAGCTTGTACATTGAAAACTGACAAATAGTAAGAGAACGATGCAATAACAGCCAGATTCTTTTAACTTCTCTTGTTTCTCTCACAATGCAGAAAAGCAAACAAAAACTAAGGAGCTGGTCTCCCAAAGTTTGGCAAGATACCAGCTATATTAGAAAAAGGTCAAATATTGCTTTTTCTCTGGTAATTCATTTCATTACAAAGTTACAATCAAATTCTTAGTGACTTTTATTTTTGACTTGAATATTACTTCCTGGGGGGTGGGGGAACTAGATATTTGGACTTTCACATCACAAATTTTCAAACAGTTAATTGTCAATAGCATTGAAAAGAAAAAAACATATGATGGATAATATTTTTATTATTTGTATATCTGAGTTTCTCTTCTCCAGTCTTTTTACCTAATAGTCTACAATGTATGGAAGCAGATGCCTAAAGCTTACTTATATATATATATATATATATATATATATATATAATAATTTCAAAATTATTGAATGATCATTGTCTAGCACTATTTCTAATTTATTGCTTGAAATTTTTTTCTTTTTAGGTTTTGTTTTATATTTATGCATAACATTTTACCCCTTTATACACATGCCTACAATCAAATAGCTGCCTCTGCTACCAACTTAATTTTAATTGCATAATCTAACAATACCTTAGAGATAAAGAAACATTGAAAGAAAAAAAATATTGAGAAACACTGATTAGTCTCTTTCCTATTTGCCTGGATAGCTTTTAAAGATTGAGGAGATAGGCAAAGGTAACTTGAATATCAATCTATTTTTACTCAGCTGTTTTTTTTTAAAGTAGACAAAAAAGATAAAATAAAGATTGGGGAAGTCAAGTATAAAATCTATGAAAAAAAAATTTTATAAGAGATGCTGCCAAACTACACACACACACAAATTTACTGTCATGCATCAAGATTTTTTTTTTTGTTTTTTTAAATCAGACATATTTCAGCAAATTTACTTTTTAATAACCAGTTGAACTCCTTGAAAGAACTATCTCCACCTCCACCTTTGTGTCTGCGTGATTTGAAACTTGTTAAAATCCTGTGTCTCATTGTGAGTGGTCAGAAAATAATTCTCTGTGAGTGAATGCATCTTCTTTCTATGATCATGTGATGGAAACTCAAGTTTACTGACTGAAATGATGGACTTTAAGCTTAAAAGATGAATATACAGCCTCAACAGCTCATTCCATTTCTTATGCAAAACTGATCATTTAATCAAATCAAAATATCATTCACATCCACTGCCAATTTCCTTGAATACCCCCCTCCCTCCCCCAAAAAAATCCTTAGCATGCACCATTTGAATTAATACATGGCACCACACGTTTTTATTTATTTTGTTTTCAGATTGCATTTATTTTTAGAGTTTTCATAAATTGTGGTGAAATGTAACGTGATTAACCCCCGCCCCACCCAGTCTCATTTTAGATTAATAGTAAAAAGGAGACAAGATGAGTGTTACTGATTAGAGAGAGAGGCAAAAAGGAAAAGGCAGTATCCTGTGATTTCATCTTACATTTTGCTCATTATTTGCCAGTGTTTATTTTACCTATTCTGAACTTATGTAGAGATAACAACAATGGCTACATTAATTAACACTTTGTCACATCCTCCTCACCCCCGGGCAACTATTTTTGGCTACAAGAAAAACAAAAATTTAAACGATATTGAAGAATCCTCCAACAAGGGAGAGGAAATTTAAAAGCAATTTCCTTGTGTCAGAAATGCTTGCCAATTGACCTACTAAGTTTAATATATCATGTAATGTCCAATTGAACTATGATTGTAATTTAATAAATTTCTTAAAAGGTGAGTAAAAACTTGAAATTTTCTCACTTTTTAACTTTTTCTCAGATAAATCTCGCAAACATTCAAAACTTTCTATAGCTTTTATTTTTTTAACCTCCATATGAAAGATTTTTTTGCCTGTCCACATCAAATTTTTGGTATTTTTTAGAATTGTTTTTAAAATAAAAAAAGAAAGAAAGAAATAATTTTAATTCTATTGGATCGTTTTGTCCTGATTAGTGTGTGTGTGTCATTCAGAAACCTTGTCATTGCCTATTGCAAGACGTCTTTGCTTAGAGTCCGACTTTTTCTTTTAGATTTTAGGCCTTAATTTATGAATTTCACTTCTGTAATTTTACATTCAATTGTAATTGGCTCAAAGATAAATATTTTTTTTTTTTTATTTTTCCCCCGAGAGACAGAATTTCTGATAGTATCATTTTGTAGGTTAAGTTAAATCCAAGTCTTCTCAAACAATTTAACAAAAAAAAAAAAAAAGTTCTTAATGCAAAGACTTGAAGGTTTGAAACTTTTCATTTAACCCTTTGGACCCTGACCCCCTGGTGAATACAGTGGCTGGTATACCAGCTGCTTGGGTTCAAAGGGCTAAGATACATTTACATGTTAATTTCTTAAATGATGCAAGGTTTGATTACTTAAACACCACTCAATCTCTCTCTCTTAGATTATGAGCTTAATAAATAAGAGCTCTATTATTATTATTGTCACTGCCTAGTCCTACTTACCTATAATGTACTATGATTAGGTATTGTATGGGACTTGTGACTAAGTTTACATTAAAATTTTTATCATGTATTCATGTTTTAAGCTACAGATTTACAAAAAAAAGCTAAATTTTATTTCTGCGACATTTATTTTGATAGAGAAAAATGCAAAATTATCAACTAAAAATTTTCATTGAATCTCACTATACTTTCTATGCAGTATGTCACTTGAGACAAGCCTAATGAAAGCAAAAACTAAACCAGTTTTCATTTGTTTCAATACAACATATTTTTGCCATAAAAGTGAAACCTTTTAATGGCTTTAATATTGTCTATTTGTAGACAAACTGAAAATTACAATTACATTAATTTTTTTTTTTTTTTTTTTTTTTTTTTTAACTTTGAAGAGGATGATTATTTCAAAGTGGTTCTTGTAGAACAGTCACAATTCTGCTTGTTTTATTCAAATTAACAGTTTTTAATACTGTTAATATTTTATGTTGAATAGTTTGTTTTTTTTATTGCTGCTATGCATGTTTTAGGAAGAATTATTTTTCTACTTCTGCAAAATGGAAACATTTTTATAACTTTTTTTTAAATCTTCAAATTTTTCCCCCCATTCAGAATTAGTGGCTGTTTTATAATTTAAATCAAATTTATTGATCATTTCCACTTCCAGCCTGTCAGTTGAACTAAATATATTTTGCCATTACCTATCAGCATTCTTCCTGTCCCATTTAATAAATGTATCACCTAAACAATTCTTGAAACCAATTCATAGATATTTAGGAAAATAGATTTCCTCCACCCTCTTTCATTCCTTCCCCTTCCACCAAGCATTTTTTTTTTTTAACCTATTTTTATAATCAAAGAAAACTGTTCTGCTGTCTCTAATCACTTTACCAACAAAGAACATTTTTCTTGAAATAGTTGTAAGTAGACTGAATTTCACTAAATCATTCATGTTCATTATTTTCCAACCTCTTTTGTTTTGAGCAGCAGAGCTTTCAGCCATTGTAATTTGTCCAGAGTTTTACTTCTGTAATCTTGGTTTTCTTATTCTTCTGATTATTGTATAAATTGTATATATACATGCATACATATATATACATTATTATATATCTTTGACTGGAGAAAATGTCCAGGTATGGAAATAAAGATAATTTAAGCAAATTTTAATGTTCATTTTTTTTTTTTTTCCTCCCTCCCACCTCTCTCTCTCTCTTTCTCATTTCTTAAATGAGCTAAACCAAATCTTAGGCCATCCATGGCAACAGTTTAGAAATGTTATTTTATGACTATCCAAATCCTGAAAATAAAACTTAAAAATAGTGTGGGCAAAAGAAAAAAGCATTTGGCCAGCAATCAATAGTGTGGGCAAAAGAAAAAAGCATTTGGCCAGCAATCCCTGCTCTAAATACTCATTGAAAACAAATGTGATATAGCTCTACTTGCAAAATACATCTAAATTAATTGAAAACCTTATTTATAAAGAAAATACTGACTGTATTGAGGAATTAAAAATATGCCTTTCTGCAAGTTACCATTTACAATTAAATCCTTGAAGTTTGCATACAAGAAAAAAAAAAATATTAACAGAAGTATTGTATTTTTTATTACGTTATAAAAAATGTTTATATAAATACAATTGACCAGAATCAATTTTCTATTTTAAAAAAAAAAGTCATAACCACTTCATACAACACTTGTTAGAAAAGACAAATACGTTTTTCTGATAAAATCTTTTATTACACAAACCTGGAAAAACATTCAGCAGATTATTGCATAATATCAAACAGACTGTGGCTTTTATTTCAGGTACCCCCCCCCTTTTTTTTTTAATGGCATTGCAGTAACCTTGCCTCATCTCCCCATTTGCAGTACACACTCAGCTGGAAACTTGCAGTTGAACAATATTTTATTTTTTTTTTATTATTTCATTATTCAGGCCTTTTTCTTAGTTATCAATTAACAAATGCATGAAATATCCTATAAAATAAATATTAAGAGGGAAAAAGAAAAAAAAAAAAAAAAAAAAATAGACATGATCCGTAGACATAATTGTGTCAGGAAAATTGGAAGCTGTAGATCAAGCAGTTGTTCCCAAATTTGGAATTTTGGGACTGTAAAAAAAAAAAAAAAAAAAAAATCTCCAAATAACAGTTCAAATCAACTTAAAAAGAATCTTTCACAAAGATTCTGATTTTTATGGCTGTAAGATTGATGGTCATAATTGTAGGGCCAAATTGGAATTATTTGCAGCATTTTGAATTATTAGTTGTTTCTCAAAAACCTTTGCTAAAATTATGTGGGTCAAATGTTAACCAGTCTCATTAACATGTTGAATCCTGGAGATGTACTTTTGCACTTTTTTTTTTTTTTTTATTACAAAACTTACATTGCCTGCTTCATGTAACCTTATAACAAAACATGCACACACATTTCCAAGACACTGTAATGTTGGCTGTTAAACTAATTAGTGTTTTGTGTTACCAGCATTCAATATGACCAGTTTTGTGGCATAGTCTTTACTTGTGGTAGTGGGGTGGGGGTGATGTCAGTTTACTTAGCAGAGAATCCAATCAAAACCAATATAGCATCACCTGTGCAAAATTGCTGTCAGTATCTTTATCATTTATTTTCAGTAAATTGTAATTTCCTACACCATCCCCAAAACAGTACAGCCAGGCAACAATGTTAATACACTCTAGCTATAAGAAAACAACTGCTGCATAAAAGGAAAGAAATTTTAAATATATTTACAGTCTTTGAGTTTTTTTGTTTTTTTTAAAAAAAAAAAAAAAAAAAAGCAAAGAAAAAATGCACAACAGATTAGAAACTAAATATTATGGATCTCTTCCAACTTCAGGCATTATATGACTACAGTGAGCATATATGGTATGGAATTTGGTTCAAAGTGGAGTTGCCCACCCAAAAGCACAAACAGTGGTGATATTGCTATGACTAGATACACAACATCAGAATCAGGAGAAACAGTAGATACATGAAGAAAAAAAAAATACCTAAGTAAAATAATTTAAAATTTAAACCTAGTAAAAATGACATGCTGATTTTTATAAAATTTATACTTAATTTTGTCTACTATATGTAACAAAATAAAACCATTTTCCTATTCACCACTAAGAGTATTTGGTCAGTGCGGTTCTTTGTATTGTTACATTAAAATATTTTTAAATACAAGCCTAGTAAAGTCATGCATAAAAGAGATCTGTATTACAAAGTATTTGATGCTTGGAAATTGTCAACTGTTCAGCCTGCAGCAGTGTGTTATAACAAAACTTAGAGGCCAAAAGATTTTCAAAAATAATAAAAAATATAAAAGACATTTTGGTTGTGATTATCCAGACAAAATGAGAAATTATGAATCTAGAATGTTCACTTATTTTGTTCATCAGCTGAACTTACTACCATGACCTCAATGAGTGTTTTCACAATTGCAAAATCAAATTTGGTGCTCATCAATTATAAACAAGTCTTGTACTGTCACCTTATTTAAATCATAGATTTAACAATTTAAACAAAGTCTGCTTTTCAATGCAGCCAAGAACAATACAGAGAATAAAAGTTGCAGAGAGAGAGAGAGAGATTTCCACTTTACAACCTATAGAAAGACCAAATTACTAACTTCCTGCAAAATGTCTGCATAAAAAAAAAACAAACAAAAAAAAAAAACAAACTCCTCCTCCCATAATTTTCTGTGAATTTATTATTCAGACTGTATCCAGAAAGAGGACTTGTCATCGTTTAAAAAAAAAAAAAAAAAAGGGAAATATACAACAAAGAAACAAATGTGCTCAGTTGCACCGGAAATTCAATAATTATATTCTGAAGTTGCTTTCCATTTTTTATTTTATTTTTTCTCTTGATTTAAAAAATATTAATGTTACTCTGCAAAAGAGTAAGAAAATGCAGCACTTGTATGCTTTTGTCAGGTGGGGGAGAAAGAAAAATATTGTGGGACATGAATTTACCAGGGATTTTACTTTGGAGAACATCACCAAAATTCTACCACTTCAGCTTGCTTGTAATAAAGTTTAAAACTGCAGAACAAATTTCTCAGAGAAAAAATATATAGCCATCAAAGAGACATAAAAATTGTTAAATACAAAATTTGGTCAACAATATTTTTAGTAACTCCTATTCTTTGATATTAATCCAAATTTTCAAGTATTTTTTTTTTTACATTTGTTCTTAGCTGTAGAATAAGATTTTCAGAGAATTTTTTAATTAAAGATTTTAAAGATAAGTAAAATGTAATGTGAAATTATTTGATTTTACTGTGAATATTAAATTTAGAAAGAGGAAAAAAAAGTGAGTCAATATTTTGTCCAGACTCTAGAAGTCTTTTGATGCATCAATTTCTGTAACTTTTGAATTTGCCATTCTCTACTTGAAATAGGTAAAGCGTATGAAAGCTTTTTTGTTGAAGAATGTGAAAGTGATAGAGATCAAGACTTAGCCATAATCTTTTGTATGTTCCTTTGGATTTAGAAAAGAGGTAATCAAGCATTTCACCAATTTGATATTGGAATCTTTAAAGTCAAACTCCAGAACAAAATCTTTTATAATAGCTTCTTGATGTAATGGAATAACCTGTCACTCCCATGAGTGACTACACTATAGGTAGTAACTACCTATAAGTATCTGTAAATCAATGGACTACAGGAGACTATCTGGGATCTGTTGAGTACGACTCAGACTTACGCGAGAACAACCGACCTTCCAATAGCAGCACTCGCTACTGGATTGATTTGCGATGACCTTGTGCATAAGTGTTATCTTTATTCGTATTGTACTGGTTTTTACAATAAACCTTTACTTATTTTATCCACAGTGTTTTTCAAGTATATATTCCTATTAGCACAGAATATAACACTTCCCTTTCAACATAAACAGGTGGTGGTAAGTGAAGACCTCAAAACATCATAAACCTACTTTTCTAACACTTTATAAACACTTCAAGAATCACTTGGAAATTCAGTTGGTTAATTTTTTGGAAAAAAGAGAATTGCAGTAAAACAAGGCAGCTAATGTGTAATGTTTCTGGTGAAAAAAATGTACAATATATACCGGGAAGGAAATTAAAAATTTGTTTTTTTTTTTTTTTTTTAAAAAAAAAGAAAAAAGGGGGGTGGGGGATAAGGGAACATGTTTCAGATGTAATTTTGTGATAAGGCCTCTTATGTACAGCATCTATCCAGCCATCTGTTTAGTCATCCATCCAGGGTAGAAAAAGCTATGTGCGTCTCACCTTGCTATATTATTGGATCCTTATAGAAGGATATATATTTATATACGCACACACATGTACACCATTCTTCACTATATTCTATGTCATAGATGAACACTTTTCCTAAAGAAAAAAAAAAAAGAAAAGTGGTTAAAGATCAACAAAAGAATGTAAATTATTAAAAATAAGAATTTTTTTCTTCATTACTAAAGAGAAAAAAAAACTTCTTTTTATCAACTTCATAAATAAAAATATTTCTTAACTTACCGTAAAATTGCTTGTTGATGACATGATTGGTCAGGGGTATTGTGGTAATGATTTTTCCAAACAATTGGATCTGGACTAGTGCTTTGGCTATCTGTGCTGGACACTTGGTCAGAGGAGGCACTATCTGTCATAGAGGCTGGCTCAAGTGTTTCATCATCAGAGGCAGTTGCATTAGACAGAATAGGTTTTCTGGCTGGAACGAGCTGTAGAAAAGAAAGGGTTTAATACAAGAAAGAGAAAAATGGGCAACAGACAAAAATTCATATTTGATGATCAGCAACCATTGCATTAGTAAAGTAAAATGGTTCCAAATGTTATCTGTGAAGTGCATTAATATGATTTTTCCTCTTAATATTACTTCACATATGAGGTTTGTCATTTTGTTACCACATAACTTACTCAAGTCCCATAGGCTGTACTGATGAGTAAAGGGCCATAGCTCTCAACACTCTAAATATCACTGCTGTGTTTTCCTTAGCAAATAGGTTTTTATGGTATGTAGTTGCTATCTCCATAGTCAACTGGTTGTCCAGCAATGTCTCCTAGTTGATGGAAGGAGAATTGGAGGCATACCTTTCCCAAGGATATTTTTGGAAAGAGGTGAATTTTGTACCTTGTCAAATACAGTATTTTGATTAATAATGTCTTATTTGGAAAGCTGTTTCTTCATCATGAAGAGATATAGCTAATAATTAGTACTCGATTCCTTTCTATTTTACAAGAAAATAAGTGCTTTCTGTTTAGGACTTCAACAATCCTTGTTGGAATTTGTATCTCATCACATAAAACAAATTCTGAAGAAATATATCCAGTGTTTACAATCAAAACAGCTAAATCTAGATTCCCTTTCAATAACTTTTTTAATATTTCCGATATCAACATTAAGAGGAACCTGCAAATCTAGACACTTAACAAAATCACTAAATTGGTTGTTACTTTTAATGAACTTTCAGAACTGCAGTCTTCAATTGGTTGAGGCAATATGGGGTTGGCTATTTCAAAGGCCAAAACAGAAACTACACAATACTTGATATTTCTAAGATAAAAATATCAATATTTCAAGTAGGTATTGATAATTTTTTTGTTTGTTTGTTTTGTTTTACTGCATATCAACCTCAATGGGTCATTTAATGCGGAAAACTTTTTTTTTTTTTTTCCTGGTAATATTTTTGTTTTGTTAATATTTTTTTCCTCAAAGACGTATAGCTGGTAATATTTTTTCAAAAACATATAGCTGGCAACATTATTTTTTCAAAAATGTATTATCAGAGGCCTTGCTGTTGGACGTAGTTTATCGTCTTAAACTACATCCGTATCCTGGGTAACTGTTTGCCCATAGCTGGGAACCTAACAGGTGCTACCACCCAGGTCGGGGTGAACCTGGGAACACCAGCAATTAAGAGGTGGTTCCATGCTCCTCAAAACGTCCTGATCAGAGGCCTTGCTGTTGGATGTATTTTATCGTCTTAGCCAGGACACAGATGTAGTTTATTGTCTTACACAGGACAAATTTTTTTTTTTTTATTTGTAATTGAAATAATTCATGAACAATTAAATGGTACACACACTTTATGAGAAAGAGATAGATCTGCTTGGAAAGTATCCAACCATTTTGATTTAATATCTTGATTGTCATCTTAATGACAAACGGGATATTACTAAGCAAGTATAAAATGACATTCTTCCATGAGGTTACTCAGTCAACAACGAGATGTCACTGAGTAAGTTTGTGTACTGTGGCTGTCACATTCACTTTGACATTATTTGAATTTCATGTAAGCTTTTTGGCAAAATATTGCATCACCCAGCCACTCCCACTGCAATCAAGATTTGATTGTCACTTTGAGCTTTTCCCCGCAAAGCTAAAACCACAACTGGAAAGGAGATTTCAAATTGTGAATGAAAAGTAAAAAGAATATGATGAAGCAGTTGATGGCAACTGCCCTAAAAGAGAACTTTACAGACCATTTTGAAAAATAGAACATACACTGGGAGGAATGTGTGGTATCTCGAAGGAAAAACTTTGAAGAGGACTAGGTAAGTCATTTTTCATTTATATCAAAGGATTGAATATTTTCTGAACAGACCTTGTATAATGGGGTGCGGAAAATTTCTTCAAATAACCAATATTTTGAAGTCCAATCAAATTTTTGTTAATCCCTTCTTGGTTAGGCAGAAAACTTTTCATCACCCCCTCATATATGTATATTATATATACTTAGATAAATATGAGTGCCTCAAATATGATTCTTGGAGCCTTGAAATAAAGGGCAAAATGAAATGTGTAGAATTCAGAGTTCCATGATATCTATAATAAAAGGGAAGAACTGATAAATTTCATGAAAAATAACCTACTAGTCTATTGTGGCAAGAGTTAAATTCCAAGTTTTTCTCAAAGATCTTAAAAAAAAAAAAAAAAAATATAGTCAATATATCTTACCTTCTTCACCAAGCAAACAACATCACTAAATGTAACAAACAATCCATGTTCATTAGGACATTCAAAATATCGCTTCCCATTAAAAAATCCATTATTTACCCCAACTGTATAAGAAAAAAAAAAAAAATTAATTTTCATCTGCAAAAAATAAATGAATAGAATATCTAATAAGAAAAATGGTACACAAAAAAGTGAAGGCTTTTCTGGTGTTACAAAGAAAAACCCTATTGCTATCATTGATCATACAAGTCTCAGAGAATTTTGTTTGTGGCTCATAAGCTGACAGAGCCAATATTGACTGAATTCAAATATTTAACATCTTATAAATATAAAAATACTAATTTTTCAGAATGCCTATTAATGTAAAAAAAGAAAAAAAAAGAAAAAAAGGCAAGCATGAAACTTCATGTACATAAAAAAGAAAACATTGACACAGCTATTATTTTAACTACTGTCACTCTTCAGCAATGAAGAGTGACAGTATTATTTTAGAAAGCAATGATTAAAATTGTAAAATTGGAGTGGGGGAGTGAATAAAACATTTTGACAATCGTTTTTTTTTTTTGCTGGCACGAAAGTCCAGGTTTGCTAAAAACTATTTAATATGTGATAACATTATTATGGTTTTAAAAACAGACATTTTTAAAATCTATATTTGCATAATATATACAAATATATTGAAACAAAAAGGTGGGTAGGAAGAACAAAGAATAGGAAAATATTACTCATCATAAAGTTGTGAATTGAAAAATCTAACTAAAAAGAAACACCAAAAAAGCTAACTGGTTATCACTCCTCAGGGCTCAATGGAGGATAAATTATATATGTAAACAATTAAAAAATATTATCAGAAGTATTAACAAATATATGCAAATTTTAAAGTTAGAATCTATGAAAAATCTTGTTTAATCTTTTACTGTATTACTTATTAATAAAAAGCAGGACACAGTTTTCAAATAATGTTACCCACAATCAAAGATCTAAGCAAAAAACAAAAGCACATATTCATAAAGATAAAAAACTTGCGGTCTTACCAGGAGCATCAAGTTCCAGGCCAATAAAAACAGTATTGGGTGGACCAATTTTGTTAAGATGACCAATATAACGAATGTATCCAGTACGGTCACCACGAACAACTATATGATCATTTACCCGCACATACAAATTAGGACTGAAAAGAAAGATAAAAAGTTCTATATAATAATATATTCTATTATTGCATTTAGGAGAAATATTTTTAAAGAACATGTGCCGTCTTAGAAAAAAAAAAAAAAAAACTTTCAATAAAAGTTTTCTTTAAAAGAATTGCTACTGAATTTTATTCTTCAAATTTATTTAATTCTTCTTGATTCTACAATTTTTCTTTAAAAGGATTTAATTTTTTGAAATTCTTTTAATTCAATAACTTTTGTGTGTTTGAACATCGTCAATGTATTTAGTAGAAATATAAATCTACTTACACTCATCTTTACATAAGTAAGAAATGTTATAAATATATTAGCAAATATATTTGCTGTATAAACTTGTTTTATAGATAAATAATTTAAAATTTCAGAGTTCTAAGACTCAAATATTTAAAGAGGAAAAAGAAAAGGAGACATTTGTAAGACAATGTAGGAAATATTATTTGAAAAAGAATATGAAAATAAAAAACATTTTTTTTTACCAAACTTTTCTTCTGGTTGACTAATTCTTTTAATAATTTATAAATTAATGTAAATATCATTTGGTTAATCAAAAACAAATTTTTTGAGTCAACACTCACTTGACTGGATAAAATCTGGTCTGTTGATCAGATGGAATTGGTTTGTCAGTCAAGGCCTCTTCACAAGAATCACATTTACACAACGGAAGAGGACAAGCAAATGGATTTCGTACAGGCTTCTTTGGAACAGCTGGACATGGTTTACGGGACCTGATAAAACAAAAATGCCATTTATAAATAAATGAAAAAAAAAAAATCTAAGAAAATAAATTATTGCCTAAAACAATAATTGTATCAAATCTTTGTTAATCTGCAGAAAGAGTTTGAAATCAAGATAAGAGGAAAAAAATAACGGAAAAGATGTTGCAAATAAAAATGCATTTCTCCTGAACAAAGAACTTTTATCATTTAAAATTCTTATAAGCAAATTTTTCTTTCTATTCCTGTAATTTGTTTATAAGACATGCAGACAGAGTAACAGTTATTTGCAAAGAAAATGGAATCAGCAAGCTGAGTTCAAATTCTAGCCTGGTCTGTTGTGTCCACTTTTTCACAAATGCCCTTAGGAAAAGCATGGTTCTTGTTCCATTTATGAATTACACAGCAAAGCAGACAGGGCTCTCTAGCAGTGGTTGGCATTTAGTGTAGAATAAATTCAAAACTGAAGGCAACAGGAAACGTCTTCACTATATTTCTAAAGAAGTCATGAGAAATTCACATCTAATAAAGAAAAGTAATTTGTGGAGTCAAAACCATCTAAGTTGTGTAAGGATAGGGCATTTAGAAAAAAAAAAAAAATCTGTAATTTTGACTTTTATAAAACATGAATCTAGCTAGAAATTATTTAGGAATTCTTAATGATGACTGAAAAGTTATTTTAATTATACCAACTCATGTAACAAGTTCACAAAGTGCAGATATTTAAGGAGACAGATGAGTATGTCAGTCACAGAGAGCAAGGAAGACGAGTGTCAAAATGATAAGGTCAGTCAAGATGAATACCTGGCTTCATGTTCAGCTTTGTCCTAGTCCATAAAAATATGTTCAACGGTAAGGTTAACAATCGACATTAGATCAGTCATCAACTAGACTTGTAGACAAACAAGATGGCCACTGAACTATGGTATTAATCATGAAAAATCACAAGAAAACATTCTAATATATCAGTATAGAGGATTTATATACATCAACCAACTTACAAAAGAAAAGGAGAAAAAAAAACAACAAAACAAAAAAAAATGCTCTGCCAAAATCCTTTTCATATTATTGATAACTTTGAAACTGGTATCTCCAAGTTTTGTTTTTTTTTGTTTTTTTTTTTTTACTGCTAATCAATCCTTCATAGGTTATTGAAAGCAGAAACATTTTGGATTGTCAGAATAATTTTTTCTTTTGCAAGTAAATATTGCATTAAAAATTTTTCGAGAATTTAAACCATAGCTGGGAGAGGAAATGGATTCACACCTTTTCCAAGAGTATTTACACATAAGTGAATGTAACAAAACTAATTGGAATTTGAACTTGGCTCTGATTTTTCATTCTGAGCCACTATCAATTACACAGCCTGCACATCCCACCAAGTAGAGAAGGAAATATAGATAATTAAAAATAAATAAAATAAAATAATCATCTTCTTGGAAAGTTCTTATCAAAATCTAACCATATATCAGACCTTTTTGGAAGGACTTCATGATCAGACCAAGTAAATTCTTATACATGCCATTGCCAAGAACTAACCTGTGTCATTGACAGCAGAAGCTAAACATAATAGATAAATAATTCAGGCAATATTGATTCTTTTATGTTCTTTTAGATGCAGACGATCATGGCTCCCCACAACTTCCTGTCTTTTCTAAAGAAATTTTACTCCTTTACCATTCCTCTTTGTCTTGCTATCCATTCAAATTTAAGTAAGTTATTTGCCGTTTCCAGTTTCTTTTGCTTTCAATCTGTCTCGCATGTTAAATTCTCCAAACCCTATTTTTCCTCATTATGTATCTCGAAACATTTCAGATATCACTTTCTGATTGTAAGTATCAGTTTCATGTAGTTCTTATTTTCCTTAAAACTTCCTCATTTCTCACATGTTCTATCCATGACATTCTCATTTGCTGATTCAGGTCTCTTCATCTATGAGAAGATTTGTCCAGTATTCATTGTTAATATAGGAGATTAGATATTACATAGGAATTCAGCAGTTTTTTGTTTCTAAAGACATTTTCCTACTTCATAATATATTGTTTAGTTTCTGAAAAAGCATCTTTATTTCTGTTTGCCTTTGGATTTATATTTCATACTTTCCATTGTCTATTACTAAACTACCCACTTAAGCTTCTGTACTTACTTGATTCTGAAATCTCCAATATAGAACTCACATCTTGAACTGTTTTACTGACAACCTTGTATTCCATCATCTTACAGTTAATAGTTCATCATTTCTTCTTGCTTTCCTTTAATACCTTCTCCAAGATTTCTTTCAGTTTTCTGAATTTGCTGAGATTAATTTGGTCAATAATAAATTCTGACAGGTGTTTTAGTCCTCTTAAGAATCATTTCAATGTATTAGTGAAATAAATAAGGTGAGAAAACATACTCTTCTTACTCCACTTTCTATTTTTGTGTATTCACTGAACTTATTCTCTATCTGTATTCAGTGGATTACTTGAACATCTTCCTTTGTAAATCCTGTTTATAAAAAAAGAGCTTCATGTCATGATCTATCAAATATCTTTATTTAATCTATGAAACGTGTGTGTGTGTGTATATACTTATGCATTTATATTGCTTGCTCTGCTAGTATTCTGATCATAAAATAGCAATTCTTGTTCCAGTGTCTTTAACAAAGCCACTCTGTAGTTGTCCTAGTTCTGCTGAGCTTTAGTCAATAGAATCCTAATAAACTTAGTTACATTGCCCATCATGATTGAATTCACATTTATTTGTACCCAGTTTGTTTGGCATCTATATATAAAATTCTGAGACTTCTGTTAGTCCATTCATTCGTCCATCACATCATCTAAAATAGCCATACATTGACCTATCATAACCAAATTTTGGTTTGGTTTGTTTTACAGTATATTAACCTCAATGGGTTATTTAATGCCGACATAGTTTATTGTCATACCCAAGACTATGTTCAACAGCAAGGCCTCTAATCAGGAGGTTTTGAGGAGCATGGAACCACCTCTTAATTGCTGGTGTTTCCCGGTTCACCCTGACCCGGGTGGTAGCACCTGTTAGGTTCCCAGCTATGGACAAATAGTTAAATCCCAAACTGGGATTAAAACACTATGAAAATGTAAATAGGTTTTAATTCCAGAAATACTTTGTAAAAAATTATTGCCAGCAATACATTTTTGAAGATAAAAGATATTACCAACTATACATTTGAGAAAAGAGAAGAGAAAAAAAAAAATTACCTGCTATACTTTTTTGCAAAAAAATATTACCAGCTATACATTTTTTGTAAAATTACCAGAAATAAAAATTTTGTCGGTATTAAATAACCCTTTGAGGTTGATATACCATAAAACTAAAACAACCCAAATTTAATGCAGACAAGAATTTTATTGCTGGTAATAATTTTTTTTTCACAAAGTATTTCTGGTATTAAAACCTATTTTTACACTTTCACATTGTTTTGACCCCCAGTTTAGGGGTTAACTATTTGCCCATAGCTGGGACCCTAACAGGTTCTACCACTTCAGGTCATGGTGGACCTAGGAACACTAGCAGTTAAGAGGTAGTTCCACATTCCTCAAAACCTCCTGATCAGAGGCCTTGCTGCTGAACGTAGTTTATCATCTTACCCAGGACACAGATGCAGTTCCAAATTTTGGGGAGAAGTGCAAACCGGTAAGAGGATACAAAGTACAGTTGGTTTTGCTATGGTGCATAGCTTTGTACAATAAATTTTCATTAATTTTTTGAGAATAAATTAAAAGTTTTATTTAACATATAAAATACTCCCATTATTTTAATCTAATGATTAAAATAAAATTTTTATTTAATAAAAATGAAACGTTTTTTGCGTATCTTGAGTTTTTATATATACAAGAATCCAGTTTCCAGTTCACCCTGCATTTGTGTTAACTATAAAACAAATCACAAAACCAAATGCTTCAAAAAGTTGGAATTTGGCTCCAGGAAGAAATATTTATGCAAAAAAAAAAAGAAGAAAAGGAAGAAAATTTCATTAATGTAAGCAACAAGAAAGTTTTAAGGAAAACAATAACAAAAAGATAAAAATCAGAAAGACAGTTGAAATTTCCGAAACATGAGAAAAAAAAAAAAAAAGTTCTGGAAAATTTAATACTCACAGTACATACTGAAGTCAGGTAGAGGAAACCAATGTGTAACATAGCTAATGAGCGTATGTAAAATGGATGACAGAACAGAGCAATGGATATTAAAAAAAGACAAATATTGCTATAAACAACAAAAGATAGGATATAGTGAAGAACTATGACTATCCACATCTTGAAGAAGCATCAAATAGATACAATATATTTGGAAAGTAACTGAAATACAATATGTTAGCTACAAGAAATTAACTTGTATGCACCATCCAAGATTAAAAACACTTTAAACATGACTACTGATGATGATGATGTGGACGTAGTAGCCAGCCAGAGATATAATAGATATAACTGTTGTCAATAAAAGATAAATAATCTGAAGTGTAGGTGAACTCAAATTATTGATATAATATTTGGTGACAATAAAATAACACTGTTTTTAGACAAAATAATGGCCATTCACAAAAATAAAAGATATACAAACCCATTGACAATTGGTGGTGGTTGCAGTGTATTGTTTCGCCCATCTTGTGGGCATGGTAAGTGAGATGAAGATGTTTGTGAAGCTGCCTGCTGAACAAAAAAGTTTGACCTGCTCCTTAACCCGCCCCTTAACAACTGGCATTTCTGACTGGTCAGTGCATTCGGGACTTGAGTTTGGCTGTGGAGAAGGAGGAGAAGTGGATACTGCAGAAGCTGCAGGCAAAGACACCACAGGACAATTTAAAGACACATGAGGCAATGGCTGGACACCAGCTGACATTTGAGTGACAATGAATGAATGGTATTCTGTAGATTGACGAGCAAGTTGGTTCATCTGTAGAAAATATGAGGGAAAAAAAAAAAGCAATTTAAAAACAAAAATCAAAAAATATATGGCCATTGGACAATAAAAAAGAAATTAGAAATTTGGACAACTATATAGCCATAGGCAGAATTTATCAAATATTTTTCATTGTTGACACTTTCTAAGAATTTGTGACACATAGATTTTGTTATAATAATTTAAAATGTATATAAAAAGAAATAATTCAATGAAAAATTTAGTTAATAAAGATAAATTTGGAAAGCTCTAGACCAGTAGTTCACAAACATTTTTGGAATTAAAATATGCTTGCGCCTCAAAGGAAAGTCCTGATATGAGAGAGAGAGAGAGAGAGTTAAAGAGACATAACTGCGAATTTGAAGTCTGAGCATTATCATTGATAACTCTCTCCTCCAATTTGCAGAGCCTAGTTACTATATTCTTAACACTTGATATAATGCAAAAATATCACAATGATAAAATCGGTCAATGACTATAACTATTTATACTAAGACACATGCATACAAACAAATACAAACATAATATTTTAAATTTTGAAGTCATTTATTTTTGGCATATGAATTTTTTGAAACTGTTTCTAAATCTTTGATTGTCTTTCAATCATTCTGCCTCACCTGCTATCCTCTTTTGCCACAGTTTGGAAACCACTTCTCTAGGCTAAGACACATAAATTGCACTTTATATCCATAAATCTTAGAATCCTAAATCTATTACCAATGTCAACAGAAATACTATACAATTGGAAGCAAATTTTGGGGGATTTGAAGAATACCTGTCTCCAAGTAAACAAAAGAAAAAAAAAAAAAAAAAAAAAAAAAATCACAATGTATGCAAATTATACCCTATTTGCCATCTAACTTCAATGAAGGATTCTGTTTAAAAGTTTAAAACATTTGTACCTCTAATTCTTTTAATCTTCCTTTCAGTAAATCAATTTCTTTCAGAGCTGCGGCCAGATTCTCTGCCAATCTGAGGTTCAATTTCATTGCTAAAGACAAAAAGAAAATTTCAGAAAAAATTATAAAGTAAAATTACATCTAAGAGGACCAAGAGAAATGTTTAAAGTTGGCTGACCGTTGTTCCAAGATTATAATAAAAAGCAATAAAAAAAAAAATAGAAAGTTCTTTTATTAGAGTTACTTCCCTTTATTCACAAAAAGAACCAATACAATCTGCAATTTGTATAAATTTTGTTTAGTGCAAATTATATAGTACTGAGCAGGTTCTCTGGTAGATTGCTTAGTTCTTATAGGTTTTCAGCTAATGAGTGGGTATCTAGTTCTTGAACAACTAAAATTTACATTAAATAATTAAAAAAAAATAATGCTACTAAAAGTAATAAAAAAGAAGACTGACAGAGTAAATAAAAGACAATATAAAGTCAATTTAAGTAAAAATCAAGTTATTACTACAATCATGTAGAAATTCCTGTGTTCAGTGTTCTTGAAGCTGCATGCCATGCATATTTTTTTATTATTTAAAATAAAAAAAATCATATATAATAAATACTTCTTTAATAAAAAAAATTATATCCAAATGACTAACACATACAAATGTCTGTCAATCATGGGAATATATATATTTAAATGAATTTGATTTGATCATCTAGACATTGACACAAGTTCACAAATAAATAATAATGTTGGAAGAAATTTTTAATTCTCCTATGGCAACTTTACTTAAAATAATATTGTCTATTATAACACCCTCCAATACTTGGTTTATTGGGAAGGAAATATGTACAAAAGATAACATTTTGGGTAAAAATTCTGTATTATCACAAAATTAAAATAGGAGCATACTCAATCCACAAAATAAGAAATTATTTCATGATATTTTGTTAAATTTCTTATTAAATGCTTATTAAGAACTTTTATACATTTAATGAGTTTAAGATTTTGTTTCTATCTCCAGTTCACAACATTAATATCTGTAAGGGTATATATAGGAGATAAGTGACTATTATCATCAAACTGATGCAGAAGTGTTATAGTGAAACACACCTATTCTATTGTTAATAGACTCTCCCACCTATAATAAGTAGGAGTAGTAGCAGTTAGTTGGTGAGTCAGTCGATGTCAGACGACCGTTAGCCAGATATTAAAGTATCAGCGACCACCACTAGATTTCTCTGCATCATTACCTATTATATCAAGTTCCTAACGTTTTGTATGTCGAACCTATTTTAGGACCGACTTAGTAAAATACAAGCCTTCACTGTGAAACTACTCTACAAGAAGTTTCCAGAATTTTTTTAAAATCTTTTTTTCCTATAAATTTAAAACATCATTCAGTTATGAAACTATTTCCCATGGCATTCTTTGACCTTACACGAGCTTTCAGCTAAATTTTGTGTTCCATCATAAAAGAGCCATCCAGTTTAGGTTCAAGGAGTTCTTTAAACATTTTCTGATATCCTGGAACTTTATGAACTACAGACAAGGAATGTTCATGGACAATTGATAATCTGAAGGTAACAAGTCTGCAAATTATGTCAAAGAATTTCTCATACCAGCTCAACAACTGTTCGCTGCATTGTATTTTGCCATATAAAGTCATGTTATACAATAAATAAAAAAAATAAATAAAATAAAATAAAAAAATCACTAGTCGACTTTCCTGATCAAAAGTCTTCTCTTTCAATGCATCATTCAAACAAGCCAATTGCTGCAATAATAGTATGCCCAGGTTACAATAATTTGTTAAAAAAAAAAAAAAAAAAAAAAAAATTGTTTTTTATTTTTTTATTTGATAAATTTTGATCTAGTGGAGATGTTGAAAACTGCCTTGCATCTAGCCATTATTTTTTTGATTTTAGATTCTAGGAATAAATTGAATTTTATTGCCAGTGCTTTGAGCAAGACAAGTGTTTCAGTGGGGATCTATGTTCTTTTCCATAGATTTATATGGAAGCCATTTTCCTAAAGCTTGTAAAGGATGTACTGCAATTGATTGACAAGACAAGCAATAAAGATCAGTATAAACTTCAAACAACACTAAGATTTCCCTAGTATTGTGTAAAAAAATAAAAATGAAATAAAATTACAAAAATGATGCTAGGGTTTTTTCTCTCAATGGTATGATAGAATAATTAAATTTAACAAAATATTTACAATTTAATTTTTTACCAGTAGAAAAGATGAGCAACTTTGTAATTAGAAAAGAAAACATCTTTACTTACTTTCCTCCAATCCTTCAATGGAGGGTGATAAGATGCATTGGATTTCTTTTGATACAGTTGCACTGGTTGTTTAAAGAAAAAAAATATGAAAAGAAACAAAGAGGAGAGATGGTGATTAATTGATTTTGTTTTGTGACATATCAACTTCTATGGGTTATTTAATGCCAAAATCTAAAATATTTTGAATACAATCTTATGGCTTTTTTTTGTTTTTGCCATTGACAAAAAACAAATAACCACCAGTAAACCACAAAAATCAAATTCCATAAATATGGCATTGAACAAATTTCTTGTATATACAAGAAATTTGTTCATTGAAAATTCAAAATCTTTTCACTTACTCCTATCAGTGACTGTTATACCTAACAGCAGGATAAAAAAAACTGACCTTGAAGAAAATGTAAACATTAATATATGTATAGATAACAGAGCCTTAATGATGTTATGATGAATAGCAAATTTATAAATTTGAAAAAATTCTAATACAATCAATTATTGGTGTGGTTATGAGTGATGTACAAAATTATTAAAACAGTTTATTGACAACTTTGGTGGTAAATGTCAGCATTTCCAGAGTTTCTTCAATTGTATAACAGATATATATATATATATATATATATATATATATGTGTGTAGCAAACAAATCTTTTCTTTTGCTGCCTCTCACAAAGCAGGATACAAAATTAAATAATGTTTTTACTTCTAGAGGTTATAATAAAGAAAAAAAAAACTCACTTGGATTTTGGTACTGCTGAAATAGGCTTGGAGACCATCTCTGGTAAGAAATGGTTGCCTTTATGGCCAGGATCACTTGTTGGTTTTTCATGAAGCCTATCTGAAGATGAAGAATCTGCCAGGCTTTGAATGTCTAAAGGACCATCACAGATACTGTTAGGAGATTCTCGCAAAATATCAAGTGGAGGGGGCGTAGGAGAGTCTGGTGGGTGGTGGACAATGGCCTGTGTGATGATGCCATGGTGCTGTGATGTTGGGGAACTTTCAGCTGAAGAAGAAGGTCGAGGAAGAAGACATTTGGACAAAATGGTTGGACTGGGAGGGGACGATGAACCACCAGATAATTTGCCCACCTGACTGCTGCTGCTGTTACTGCCACCCCCTCCACCACTGTGATTATTGGTGTGTGATTGGAAGGAATAGCCCGATAATTTGTTTCCGCATAATTTATCAGTTTTGGGAGAGTTACTCATAGTGCTAGATGATTGGCTACAACGTGAGCAGGGGCGAGATAGTTCCTGAAAGGAGAGAGAAAAATTACTAACGCTGATAAATTTTCACTACAAATATCAATTCATTTGAAATTAATTTATCCATATATTTATACTTTATTATTTGCATGTTGCTGTTATTCATTAGTTAATACCAAGATTATATTCAGCAAGACTGATTTTAAAAAGTGGGTTTTTTGAAGCAGAGAGAATTTCCAAGTTGTATTTATTTTAATACATACATAATTAATACTTTGTTGCTTTACTAATTTAAACATTAATTGATTTTTTTTTTTACAGATTATCTGCCATTT